CCAGAAGAAATTGCGCAGTGCATTTTAAATACCCAATGGGAAATTTACAACTGGCGTAGTACTGCGCCAGCACTGGCAGCACTGGCGGCAAGGCTGAGAGCCAGCACTGGCTTGACACTGGGATGATAACGCCGTCTGGTGCTGCCGAAGTACTGTCTGTCAGTGCTGCCAGACAGCGCTGGCGCAGCACTGGACCAGTGCTGGCTAAGAATATTGCCGCAATAAATGCCGTATTGTTATTAATTAGTCGTAAATTCATAATTATAAATAATTTAACAACAAAATGGTAAATAATATTAATAAATAGTTATTATTCATAAAATATTTCGCTTCTTAAAGAAATTGTATTAAAGATGAAGACTAACAATGGATATAGTAACTAAAGTAGAAAAAAATTGTTTATAACATTTAAAAATTAAATAATAAACAATTACAGTAAGTGTGCATTAGATTTTCATATTTTAGTACCTAACGATTGGAATCTTGAAATATCGAAAACCTATGAAAATAAACAAAATTGCTGACGAGGGGAATCGAACCTACGACCTACGGACTAACAGACTAACTCTCTAACCACTATGCTAACGACACATGTGTACAGTAAAGTATTAACATCTCAGTATCATTCAGACATACAATTATTCAGTCAAAGATGAGAAAAAAATAGGGATACGTTAGAAATAAGAAATTGAAATAAAATAAATTAAACTACATTTTTAATAATTAATTTAAATTACTTTACTTATTGCATTTAACATTTTACGTAATTCTTAAATTACGTGGTAATTTTTTAATAATTTTTTATTCATAGTAAGAAGTATAATAGTATTTTAATAGGAACCAAATTATTATTGAGATTAAAGTTTAAATTTTGTTTATAATTTTAATTTGTTTAAATATTTTATTATTTACAAAATTAGACAATTATGTTAAATTGTTATTATTAAATTTAATAAAAATAAAAAGAACAACTGAAAAGTAAAATATTAATTTTTTTCAATAAATTTATATTTATAAACATTCCTAAACTTTTTTATAATTTTTTTCAAGTTTATGTCAAAAAAGCAATGTTGGCAAAGAGCGTTGTGAACAATTTTTCTATACTCAGCCAGCACTTGCCGCCGTGGCTTGTCCAAGCTTTGGCAAAACAAAAATTCTGTACTGCGCCAGCACTAATTGTCGAGGCTCGGCTAGACTACGCCGAACAATCGTCTGAGTACTAAGCCAGTGGTGAACATCGGCACTACACTGGCATTTCCCATTGGGTACAGGCAAAATGTAAAGTTGGCAATGCACAATTCTAAAAGCCTTTCTTTAATCATTTATAAAATACAATTTAAGAACCGTGTGTGTGTGTGTGGAAAATATGTATTAGCCAAGCAAGTCAGTATCCGCGTGGGTGTGGCCGAATGTTTATTGTTTGAATTGGAAGTTGATGTTCTCCTCAGGTATCTTTAGATTAGTTTGTACATATCGACTAGAAAATCAGACCCACAAAACGAGGATACAATTCATTTCCGGCCTTGAGTGGTGCGCTTCCAGAAATTGATAAGATAACAACTACTTCCTCCTTTTTTTGAATATTTGATTAAGTACTACAATAAATTATATTAATATACTCTGCACGCGATATAGGCGCACCGACATAATTTTTATTTTTTATAACTAAATTATAAATCTTGATTGCGTATAGCGTAATACCAACTTCCTTTTATTGAGTAATAATTTCATTCATAAAAAGTATCGTTTGATTCATTGCTTGAAGTGATTTTAAAAAATTCTCTTGTCAAAAGAACGTGGAAGTGAAAAGCGATGAAAAGTTACATGGAAGAAGAATCAAAAGTGCTTTAATAGCAATTATGAAACGCGAAGAGTAGAATTTAGCGACACTTTGGTCGGTGTTATTTCACTGAGCTGGATTTTACACAGAAATACGTACTATGAATAGAGAAAGTGACTTGGTGACACAGTATTCTTCCCGAGCTTCTATTTTTGCTTTGAGATCCACGCCAGAGCTTCAAAGAAGTGCTTATTTTTAAATTATTTAGAAGAAACGCCTTTTCGTAATTCCAATTTCCACCCACATCAAGATTATCGCACTCACATTCCATGCGCCTATAAAAATGGTTTTAAATACTGTGAACCTTAAAGATTAAGCTTGTCCCAAAAGTGTAATTTAACACGGAGAAAGAAAACATTTGCTTTCGAATACCAATTAATTTGCCATGACAATTCTGGAGAATGTTGCTGTCTGTTAATTTATCAGCTCGAACAACTATTTTTACCAGTTTTTATGTTTTCTTTTCTGTAGCATTTTATTATACCGTCTTAAGAGCATGTGCGACTTTTGGGTCACGTGCAATCAATGTCGAATGAATTTTTCAAATTAAATCACAAAATGAATTTTACAACTTAAAATCAGTTTTAAAAATTTAAGTTCTAAAATTAGATCTGTTCAATTTTAGGCCCAAAATGGCTTTAATTTTAGAAAGTAAAATAAGTGATTTCAGACTTTGTTTACCTTCTGTAAAGTACTTTTTAAAAAACTTGCTTTTGCGAATGAACTTTTAAAGTTGACTATTTTCGAAAATGTCTCAATATTGCTCAATATGGGTAGATAATTGAGTGAATCAGAATGAATTAATAAAGTGTGAAGAAGAAGAGAAATGGGTCGAAAATTTTTTGCTCCGTGAGGAGTGTCTAATAAGGTGAGCAGACATCTTTGTATAAGAAGGCTTTGCATTAGGTCGAACGCCAATCAAGTTTGCGCTCTGACCATCATATAGCTATAAAACAAAGAGACCTTCGTCTTTCATAGGCTTCATCACGTGTGAAGTTCAAAAAAAGATGACTCACAACACAAGTCAGAAAACATCGGCTCAAAAATTCAGATTTAACTCTGCATCTGCAACTTGAATTTTTTCCTTAAATAATCTCTTGATACAGAATTACATAAAATTATTTTAAAAATTATTTTATTATTTTTAAACTACAGTTATTTCAAGTTAGAAAAAAGGAAAAGAACAAAATAAAACATATTTTCACAGACAGGAACACAAAATTGTCAATTTATGGAATAAATTTGTGATGCGAATATGATACGGCATAATATGACATATTCTCAAAGCAATTAATAGAGCGATGAACTGTTTTTTTTGCACGTAATTCTAGAACTGTTGAATTAATGCGACTTCCACAATGAAAAAGAAACGTTGAGTCGAATGGAAAAATAAATGAATAGGTATATAGTGGAGAGAAGAAGATATTTCCAGCGGGAATATTAAGTTTCTCCGATTCATTACGCAGTCATTAAAAATATGTTAATTATAATTGAATTGCATTGCACTATTATGCAAAATTTGTAATATATATACTTTGCTGAATTATAATAATTATCGTAGAAATTAAGTATTTTTAATTTAATAGAATTTCAATTTTTACATGAATAAATTTAGTATAACAATAGAAAAAACCGTAGAAGGAAACCCAAAAAGAATCTCGAGTTCCTTAGAACGAAAAATTAATTACAATTGGAATTTTTCACTGAAAAAAAGTTATGAGGAATCAATGTATAAAAATAGTATAGAAAACTCACCAAATCATGCGAGGCATTTGACTGTCAGAATAAATTCTCACCTGAAAAATAAAAATTAATTCGATATTCTTCGTGTGTTGTATTAAAATGTTATGAATAAAAAAGTTGAATTTGATAATATTCGATACAGTTTCAGTATGACAAAAGATGTTGGGCCATAAAAGAAGAACGGTATGGAGAAAATAAAGAATGAAATGACCGGTTTTTGTGCCTCAGGTGATAGATGAAAAAAAAACTCTGTATATAGATAATTATTTCATGACCTTTTTGAATTGTTACAGGCTTCACGCTTTATTACCAGATTTTGTTTGTAGTCACATTGTGTCTTCCTTTGGCCCAATATTTGATTTAAATACATAAATAACAATAATAATAACAATACATGAATAAGTCGTATGCCTGACTTCATTTAAGAGACTTTAACAGTATTTCAGATTTTCTATGGTTTCCGTGTTGCCTATAATTTCTGTCAGTGGTTTTAAAAAGATCAAACGAATTGGCGTTTGAAGCTATTTAAATTTTCATCACACATTTATTTTTAGTCGCTAAAATCTTTTTTGTAATTAACGTTGCAAAAGAATTATTGTATTTTTAATAAATTTCACCTTTTCTAGAATGTGTATAAACCACAATTATTTCTATAATTAATTTCATATTAGGAAACTGAAAAATCCGAAACAAAAGTCATTCTCAAGTATGTTCAACTTGAAACACGAGTCATAAAACAAAGTCTGAATCCACTATCATAAATAACAAAGTGTAGCGATTCGTCACAGATAATGAATTATTCTTTCATATCAAAAAAGGAAATAGGCCAGCAACCGGGAATGATTAACTCAATTATCGTTGATCAATAAATTTTCTAAAACTGTAAATCTCTTCGGTAGCTGTACACTAAATTTTACATCAAGTTGAAATTTAGGTATAAAAGCAAACAAATTTAGTCGTGATCCTGGAAAAGGAAGGAGAAGCTGCCATAAAACTGCTAGCACTGTTTATTAGTGTAGTACCTCGTACAAATTTAGACTCCGCGTATTCATGCACTTTTGTAAGTATTTTAGTATGAAAGTAAGAATGTGTATAGGCGCTATTCGTATATATCATGCCCAAGTACGTATGCATGCGTACACTTCAAGTATCTAACAATCTCATATGGTTCGATAGAATCGAAAAACGCTTCTTCTTCTTCTTCTTCTTCCTCTTCATCCTACATTATAAAGTATCAATTTCTGGGGGGAAATTACAATTTTCGATAAGGATTGGAAAACAAAGACGATTATCAGAGAAATTCCTCGAAAAGTACATCACACACGCGAGTTTAAATTTTCGAGAAAGTTATATGTATACGCATTTGCCTCAACTGCCAGGAGGTTTTGTAAATAATATTTATTACTTTCTTGGAATGTTAACTTGGAAACATTGAACCATTATTTATTCTTCAAATCATTGCAAAAAATGAACGAGATTTATACAGTAAAATTTCACAATGTTTCTTGAAACTATTGAAAAAAGAATATTTTCAATATTTACATGTTATCAGAATTTTATGAAACTCGAAAATATTTAAATAATATTTTTTATCACACTCTTGATCCAATCAACGTAATTCCAAATGCGAATGACTTGATCAGGATCCCCTGAACCACAAGTTACACGATTTGTAGCTATCGCCACTTGGTATTTATCATGAATAACCACAGGACTACCGACATCTTTCTGTAAAAGAAATTCGAAATTTAAATTTTATTTCAAATTTGAAAAAAAGTTGTCGACTTACAAAACAAATGCCATAATTCCTTCTGCTGATAAGACACATTTCTGTTTCTTTTAACCAAGTGTATTTTTGAAGACATCTGTCCTGAGCTACAATTCGCGATGTAAAGTAATGAAGGTCACGAATGGAAGTCTCGACTGTGTTCTTTAAATCAAAAAGTTATGGTTTCAAATTGAATTATCTTCCTAAAATAAGTGTCTCAAGCTAAATAGTTTGAGACACTTATTTTAGAAAGATAATTCAATTATTGTTAATGCTTATGGTACATAAGGTTGCCACAAAAATTTGATTTTCTTCTTCCCTGATCCTTATTACAAAAAAAATTAAGGGGAGTTCAATTGTGATAATAGTTCTTAGAAGCAAAAATTTCCCTGACCTGTGGCAACCCTGATATCGCAATACTCACTGAACTAGCCGCTCCCCAAGCAGTTATTTTGACAGGTAAATATTGTGAAGTCAGGTCTCGATAAGGAAGATCTACACTTTTAATAGTATCTGTAAATTTAATTTCCTGCTTTACTTTAATCAGAGCTAAATCGATTGCTCGATTATTTGCGTTTTCTGGGTGAACGACAACCTCAGAAACGTTAAAAATTGTGCCACTCTTATCTAAATTTGTCCAGTCTGTTGTACCAGCCATAATGTAATAAAGAGTTGTGTTTGGCCTAAAACACAAGAGGAACAGAGGAACTGCATTTAAAATCCATTACCGTATTGCTTGTTTTTTATTTGTACTCATTAATAAATAAGTAAAAATAAAAACTAAATTGACAATCAGTAATAATAAATACTCACGAAATAATACAGGTTGCAGCCGTTAAAATCCATTTTGAATTCAAGATAGAACCACCACAATAATTACCAAACTCATCAGCTGTTTGAATAGATACATGATATGGAAATTGACCCCTACTAGCCTTAACGCCCCCAGAAAGTCCTAAAATTACCAGAGGAATTTAAGTTTCAAATTTAAACAAATTCAAACAAAATTTTGAACAGAATATAAAATTTAGGTAATTACCTAAAGAACTGCCAAATAATGCTAAAAGCACAAAAGTTGATACAAGTAACCGACTCATATTGCAAATCTCTTTGATACGACTTTTAATGAGTCTTCATTATTTATACTGATTTTTATCTAATTTATCAGACTTTTAAAAAGAAAATGTATTATGGCTACAAGGAAAAAAAATTAAATTTTAATATTACATGAGAAGGAAAGAATTAACACTAAAAGATAAAATTCCATTCATATTCATGAAATTCTTTATTAAATTCTCTAAAAGAAGCAGGTCAATTATCTACAATATTTATAAATATACATAGTTTAAAAATAACTTTAAGGAGAAAAATAAATATGGTGTTTATTGCTGAAATTAGTTAATATTTCGTTTGAGAAGAGTTTTAGTAAGTCAATGATCCGCAGCACTTACTTGAACAATCATATAGCTTTTGAATCGCAATTGAGGAAATGGTAGTTTTATAGCACTATCGGCACAATAAACTGGGATAACAATGAATCGTTACAATGAGAAAGGGCATATCGTGAGTCATCAATAACAGCAAGATTATTGCCTCTTTATTACGAAATCAATCAACTTTCAATATATGTGTATTTTTAATTATTGCGATCTCTAATGAGAAAATAAATCAACTTTCAATAAAACGATTCTTCAAGTTCTCAAGATTAAAACTATAAGACTATCTTTAACTATCTTTTAAATTTTAACTGTATTTCTTTTAAGCAAAATGTCTCTGAACTTTCGAAAGACAGTTACTGATTCAGATTTAAAGAGTTTTTAAAAATATTTGAGCACAGGAAAATATTTCGTACGAGAAAAATTAAACAAATAAGTTCACAGGGTTACCACGCAACCTAGAAAAACCTGGAAAACCTGGAAAGGTCAAGAAATTTAACAAAACCTTGAAAAAACTTGGAAAAGTCAGGGAAGTTTTATCGGAATCCTGGAAAATTATTGTTTTCTAAAGTTTCTAATTTTACTTAAATATTTCAAAATTAATTCACTTTTAAAAGAGTTGCGCTTACAATTTTCATAAATAGATAAAATTCAAAAGGTTTTAATTTGCAATTTTGTAAAATTTCAACTTTGAAAGAATTAATTAAATAATAAAAATTTCACAAGAATTTTATTATTTTACAAATTCTTTATAAATTTCTTCGCAATAATACAATTATTTTCATAACTAATCAAAATTTTTACAGAGATTCAATTATTTTCATGAATAATATAAAACTTTACAAGTTTTTAATTATTTTAATAAATAATAAAACTAATCGCAGAATTTCAATAATTATTTTTAATACAAATTTTAATGGAATTTCTCAAAAAAAGTAATTATTCTTAAAAATTTTATTAAAATTCATCAAAGAAATTCAGTTATTTTAAAAATTCTTCCTGTAATTTATTTATTAGAATTTAAGAATTATTGTCAATACATTTTTAATTAAATTTCTTGAAAGAATTAAATTATTTTCAAAAATTTTAATGAAATTCTTTTTAACAATTCAATTTTTTTTCAAAATAATTTTAATAAAATACTTCGTACAGAAATTTAATTAATTTCAATAATTTATCAAAATTCAATTATTTTCAATATCTACTATTTCAATAAAATTTCACAATAAGACTTCAATTATTTAAAAAGAAATATTATTAAAATTTGTCTCAATAATTAAATTATTTCCAAAAGTAATAAAATTCCTAGAAATTCAATTATGGTCAAAAGTTTTAAAAAATTCTTGACAAAATTTCAATTATCTTTATAAATAATAAAATTTTTCTCCAAAATTCAATTATTTAAAAAAATTTTAGTAAAATTCTTGGAAAAAATTGCAATTATTTTCAGAAATTTTAATAAGATTCTTAGCAAAATTTCAATTATTTTCAAAAATTTAAATAAAATTCTTGACAAAATTTCAATTATCTTTATAAATGATAAAATTGTTCAACAAAATTCAATTATTTAAAAAAAATTTAGTAAAATTCTTGTAAAAAATTTCAATTATTTTCAGAAATTTTAATAAAATTCTTGGCAAAATTTCAATTACTTTTAAAAATTTTAATAAAATTCTTGACAAAATTTCAATTATTTTTAAAAACTTTTCTCAATTCAATCAAATTTTTTACAGAGATTCAATTATTTTTAATAAAATTTTAATCTAATTTCTCGAAAAATGAAATTATTCTTAAAAATTTTATTGAAATTCGTCAAAAGAATTTTAATTACTTATTTAAAAATTTGTTGATAAAATTCTTTAAATGAGAGTTCAATTTTAAAAAACAGTCAATTCTTCAATAAATTATTTATTTGCATTTCATTTATATTTAAATAATTGAATTCTCGTAGAATTTTTTAATAAAAATTGATTTAAATATGAATTTCAGTTAAAATTTTAGATAATAATTGAATATTAAATTCTCTAAATTTGAATTAGTAAAAATGTTTTCTAATTTGATTTAGTGACTGAATTTCTGCTTTTGAATTAGCAAATTTTTCTAATAAATAGTCGTTTCTACTAATTTAATAGTAAAATTTACTAATTCAAAAGCAAAAAGTCAGTCACTAATTCCAATTAGTAAACATTTTTACAAATTCAAATTTAGAGAAAAAGTATTATAGCTTGAATTATTAGAAATAATTAAACTTCGAAAAGGTTTCAAATTATAATCTTTAAATGTTTCAATGTTTCATACTTTTAACTGAAAATTGGGTAGTGTTAATTTTTTTGAAAAAGTTTAATTGAATTTTTTATTGTCTAATATATATTTGTATGAAGAATTTCCGAATAATCGTTGAAATTTCGTAAAATTGAATTGTAAACAAAAGGATTTGAAAATTTTCAAAGAAATTTTTCAAAATTTATTAAAAATAATTAATTTAAAGAAGAATTTTAGTTCAAAATTCTAGAAAACAATAATTGAATTGAAGTGATGAAAGTAATTTTGCATTTTTAATTATTATAAAACATAAAAAAGGTTTGAATTTGAAAGGACACCGCACTAAATACACTAAAAATGGCTTTCTGTTAAAATTCTTAATATTTTCAAAATTTTTAGTTTAAGGTTTTCTGTTTAAAAAAATAATTAAGCGAAGGTCAAGAAATAAATAACCGAAAGCCATTTTCAGTGTGTTTAGTGCGGGGTCCTTTAAAAATTTTTAAATTTGAAAGTTTTAATTTTTATGGAAAAATTATAATGACTAAATATTTATTTAAAAAAGATAAATATAACAACGCGGAATACAGTATTGCATGAAAGTTCCATGTATTTGTAAAAATTTATTGGAATTATCTATTTTTGTAAAATATAAATTTAATTTTAAAAACCTAGAAAAATTCCGTTTTTTAATCTGGAAAACTCTCAGGGAATTTGAAATGAGCAAGAGCGTGGCAATTCTGGTTTAAAAGTCACATGGAACTTGACAAGAGAATTTTTTCGAATTGAAAATAAAATCAAACAAGATTCTTCTCTTAAATAACGGAGTATTCTTAATTCAAGAGGAAGTTTGAAATCCTTTAATGTTGCAGTTATGTGCACTTTAGAAAACAACAATCTTATCTCCAGCATCGCGTAATCTCTTACAAGATATTGTGCTTTTTCCTTCTTAATAACTTGTCGTAATTTATGACACCAATACAAGAAACACAAAATAACAACAAACACTCCTAGAAACAAATGATTCTTTCGGATTAAGTCATTTCCTTCGGACTTGAAGAATGCAAGATATTTATTTACATAAATCGACAAAAAATTTGCAAAAATTTTTCCCAACAATTTTAATACGTTTTTTTCTGAGTGGATATAATAATTTAAAAATAATAAGAACTGACAGAATATTTTTAAACAGTCACCCATTAAGTTCACATGATTTGAAAAGGAGTTAAATTTCTTTTTTTTTTGTATCAAAAAATTATTTTTGAGTCTCGTCAATTTTGTTTTTGTATATAACATCTGAAGAGAATCCGCATTCGTATCTTGAGGCTTGCATGAGTGTAAAAATGCATGCTGTGTTCTGTATTCGAAGGTTTTAGTTTCTTTCTTTTTTTTCTTCTTCTTTTAATCTCAACAGATTTATCTTTACAGACATAAGCCAACACATATTCAGTGACGAGTCACATAGCTCTAGGTCGATTTCTTTCTTTTCGTCAGCCATTGCTCTTTCAGTGCGTGGAGATGAAGCAGCAATTTTGCACATTATGAGTTCACTGTTACCGTCAATATCAACCACAATATTTCGCTTTTTCTGACACGCGGAGGCATTTTTGGGCGAACTTGCAGTTGTGCATTCTTAATGAAAGGAAACTCGGTTCACTCACCTCAAAAAATTCACTCATTTTCAATGCTTCTTGAAAACTTACCAGAAAATATTCCTTTTTTATTTTCAAAACTTTCTATATTTTTAGTAAATTAAGTTTATGTAATTTATTTTTGTTTACGAAATTTTGTATAATGTAATCGATCTAATGGAAATTCGAATATTCATCCGTGTGTTTTATTATCAATTTTCTATTACTGTTTTAAGGGTTCTGCTACAACTGACGAACTGCTACTATCAGGAAATTGGAATTTGTGAAGTATGACAGGTTCTCTGATTTAAATTGAACATCAAATTCTAATGTTCAGTTACTGCATTTTATCCTATCTTTAATATCAGAATATCAATCACGAATTCGAAAGTCATCTTATTGAAAATAAATGTTTATTATGAAATTCAATTTTCAAACTTTAGAATTTTAAGCTTTTAATAAAAGAATTTTTAAGGGTTTTATATTCTCTAAATTAGAATTGATTATCTCTTATAAATCATCAATTAGTTAAATACTTAAATTAATATGGTACATGAATCAGCCATTAAAAAAATATAATATAATCTTTCGATTAATTGACGAATGTCACCAGATTAATTATTTGCTCTCATTATAAGGGTCTTTGCGATCCATAAAAGCATCGAAATTAACTTCAAGCCCCTTTTGAGCTTAATTTCTGTTATTGATATCTTTAACAACTTTAAATACAAATATAAAAAAATTGTAAATATTAAAAATGATTAAAATTAAAAAATTCTATAAATTACATGGTTGATTATTTGGGTACAAATTTGTTACATTTGTGAAACAAGAACTAGAACAAGAAAAAATGAATGCAGTCAGAGTAAAATTT